GAAAAAAGGAAAGAGGAAGTACAAGATAATGGACATCACAAAATATTCTCTGTAAGCTAACTGAGCTCAGGCTTATAGTACTTATCAGTAGTGGCACAGCTAGAACAGGGGTCAAACCCATGGCTTTCTTTCTGCATCATCAACTAAGGTTAATTGATCTCACACTTGAATGGAAGAAGGGAAAAACCTAAGTATTGGAACACAGCTCTCCCTCCCGCCCCCCCCAAAAAACACTGTGAGGGAATTTTTATGCCTGCAAAGAGTTGCTAATTTCAAACCCAAAATCTTAATGATTTAAATAATTGGCCCTTTCATTTCCAACAAAGGAAAATGAAAAATCTTTTTTTGTTGCCCTTGAGTGTTTTTGATACCGTTAAGTTCATCTTGACCCCAAGCTTAGATGTGACTACTGATCCAAACAACAAAATTTGAGGGCTTGTATTGCATGTCAAGTAGTCTACAACAGTTTAAGCAATGTATTTTGAGGAGTAAATTTTTTCAAGGCTTATATTTAAGTTATAATGCTATTGTTGATATTTTTGGACATTGCATCAGAGTGTAATTTTTTTTTATATTTTATTTATTCATGTATTTATTAATTAGAGCAATTTGTATATTGCTTTATTTCCACACAGCATCTTCTTTTGGATTTCCTGGTTTTCATACAGTTACTGAACTGTGTATCTGATGTACTGATGTTAAATTTATCTACAAGACTCAATTAAAAAAGGTTTGGTCCGCCAGGGACCAAGTGGTCCACACTACCAGAGCTTGTCCCAGTTTCTGTAAGCTGGAAGGAATGCTAGTCCATTACTGGGTTATCCCAGCTTTAAATTTACAAGTACCCATTTATACACCTGGGTGGAGAGAGGCACTGTGAGAGTAAAATATCTTGCCCAAGAACACCATGCAATTACCCAGGCCATGGCATGACCCCAGACCACTGAATCTGGAGTCCAGCAGCTGGCTAACCATTGACGTTAGGCTACTGTGCCTCCAAAGAGACTCAGTATAACAATCTTCCTTTAGCAACATAGTTGGGTTTCAAGTTGCCCTGGTTGTTAATGTAATGCCAAGGGCTGAAGTTTCATCTTCTACACATGCATACCACCTTCTAAAAGGTCAACTAACTGATCTAGTACTATTTTCAGGCTTGGTACTTCCAAACTTGAGTAATAATTTCTGTGAATTATTTATATAAACACCTTGTCTTAACAATACATTGTTATGTAGTCATGACAGCAGTTGAGTGCAATTTGAAGTGGGGTCGAATTGGGGCTAAAAATCATGCCTGGTGAAACTTAGAAGATTGTCAAATTAATGGGTATAGCTACCTGCTCTCAAGAAAATTCGGAGAGGGCATCAAAAATTGTGTTTCTTGCATAAATGGTTCATGTCACTGAGACAACAAAAGAAATTGCAGTCTACATGTGACCATTGATGACCTCTGCTACAGTCACAGATAAACTCACTTTACCATGAAATGTTTACCCCTCCATTACGTCAAACTTTTAAGATGTAGATCTCCCTTACAAAATGGAAGAAATTTCCATTGTTCCCACAGCCTACTCATGAAATATCTGCCAGCCAATGAAACAATCTTCAAACGTTACAGTATTAAACCACAAATGACCAATCAACCAATGAAGACACTTTCCACACAATTTCTGGGAAACATCATGTAGCTTTGAATTGATTAGCAAGAGTAAGACACAGATGCCCACTCTCTGATTTTTCTTGAGGAGAGTGGCTGATGACTTTATACAGGCTAAGCTTTTATCAGTGTATCTCTTTTTGTTAAAAAAAAAAAACACCAACCAGCTCCATATTGCTGAAAGCAAGATCAACATCTAATGGGAAGCAGCAATGGCACAGCAGTAAGAACCCTCACCTGCGACCAATGTGGCCCAATTTTGATGCCAGCTCGGTGCCATATGTGGGTTGGGTTTGTTGGTTCTTGCCTTGCTCAGAGGGTTTTTCTCCAGTTTTCCTTCCCTCTGCAAAAACCAACATCTTCAAATTCCCATTCAGCCAGGATATAGGGCCTGCATGAAAACCAGCCAAGGTCAAAGATATTGATATTCCTTCCTCTCTCAAGGGACTTAAATTGTCACTGGTGAATAGTAATTAGTTTGGGCAGCTTGCTTGGTTTTGTTCTGCTGTTTTTAAGCAGTGTAATTGGTTACCTTAACATCAGCTGCAGCTGGTCATTAACACTGTACATGTGTTAACTGATGCATGCAAATAATTTATCACATTACCTTACCTTACAGAAAAACATCAGTCATGAAATGATACACTTTACTCAGACACAGGGCCTTGTATCAAACTTTACATGTACTATACTTCACAAGTGTTACAAAAATCAAAAAATATCTTTTTATATATAAAATAACTTTTGAAAGAAAAATCAATTGTTAACCACAAAGTACTGGAAAAGCAGTAGATTGAAGCTTTCCCTAAAATGAATTGCAGTTTAGTGACATGTTAACTGTGGGAGTGGTTACCTAAACAACACAATGCATTACTAATCATCATTTTACCATGTGTTAAGAAACTGAGGTGAGAAAGATGAATTGCTAGAGACATATCCATTCTTAATAATCATCAAAAGAAAATTGCAATGAAAGAGTTGACTATCTTGGCAACAAAGTACAGACTGTGTTGTGTGAAGAGACACTTTTGGCATGAACTAACAATATCTGAAATAGCACTTTATGTACAATCATCCAAACTGCACGAATCCCCCCACCCCCCACCCCCCACCCCCTACCCCCTCAACCCGGATATTCCTATGTTATCAAAGAAATATTTCAGGCACATTCTGTACTGTAAATTTGTTGCAAATGAAAATTATGTTGGTACACATCACAGTCACTTATAATTGGGCAGAGAAACAAATATTAAGTAGAAATGTATTTGACATTTAACTCAACATCTAAGAGCATTACAATGAGAGTCTCTTGAACATGTTCTTTCTTAGGGTGATGTCTACCATTTAAAGCTTCACCCTTGTTTTTACACTGTATAGTACACTTCCTAAATCAATGAATTTATCTTGTTTTAGGAAATACCTTACATACACTTCTTGCTGTTACTAACTGTTCTAGATTCTTAAAATATAAGAGGCTTTTGTTTGTCATTTCTATAAAAAGTCAACAACTTGTCCTTATTACTACTACTGTAATTAGTTTAATTTGAATTATATCATAAATCATTGTTAATTTTGGTTAATATGCTGACACACATTGAATCACTGGCTCCCAGTGATACTTCATTATATGTGAAAGCTCTCTCCCTTTCAAGCAGTTTCAAATATAATTCAACAGTGGATTCAACTTCAAGCCATGTAGTGATAAATTGATCCCTTCTTGAAGTATGCACAGCCATTTTCTACTTCCAGAATGCCCTATACGCACTGGAAGTGTTCAGTTTGTCTTGGCAAAGTAGCAGAACATTAGAGAAAAGTGGAAGAACATGGAAGAATTCAAACATAAAACAGCTCTTGTTGATCATTTATCTTTCTAGATGTGAGAGGTTCAATCTAAGAAGAACCTACTGTTTGACTATAAATATTTGTTCTCTTCATTGAACTTAGGTGGATGTCTCCACAGAAAACATGACTAAGCCAAGCTAGATAATTTGATGCATAAAGAATCTCCTCCACTTTCCTGTAATCCATATAATCTTTGCCTGTGCACTATGTTGCAACAATGTACATCCTTAATATATTTTTGAGACTTTTGTGCTGGTCTCAACTCACTGCAGGGAAGCTTCATAAGTTATAATAGCTTTTATCAAACTATATAATGTTACTATTATCAAACGACTGATGAAAACCAGTTTCAATGAAGATTGGCCCGTTCCTCTGTGACAATCACTGCAGACTATATTATGTTTTAATATTGACTATACACAATTACAATAGAAAAATTCACAACCTAAACAAGCCTAGCCTACACATATCAACCAGAATATTTTCAAATTACTCTAACAAATAAGTAAAAAAAGTTGCTTTTTTAGCAGTCTACAAGAGTGTCTCTTGTTGTGTATGCTTTAGCAATTTTGCTTTCTTCTTATCTAAGTATTCTTACAGGCATAATCAAACAAACTGAAATGTCGTAGCCTTGTTGCTGCCTAATGACTGATTTTGGCACATGAACACCTCAACTTGTCATTGTTTGCATCTCATTATCCCTTCTACCCCAACATAATACCCTTTTTAAATTGCAATATCTTGAACACACAACACTGTTCTTTGTGACTTTGAGTTACTGCAGCATCAGTGACTTCAAATTGTCCTGTAATATAGTGTCCTTTACTGCATGGAAAACAAACTTGATATTTTCTGTGTCAATGGCCGTCGTAAAGTGATGAAAAAGAGCTTTAGACCTCTCTCGTCGCTTGCTATCAAACATTTGTAAAATGAAGTTCTGCACATCTTCCAGCTTTCGGGGATCACCCTGGAAAGCTGGGAAGTAGTCCTTTATGTTTGCATATTTGATCTTTTCCATTAAAAGATCAGTCTTGTTTAGAAAAAGGATGATTGACACATTGGCAAAGAATTTGTTGTTGACTATTGTCTCAAAGATGTTGCATGACTCCACAAGACGATTTGTTGTTCTATCTTCCATTAGAACTTGGTCATAAGCACTTGATGACACTAGGAAAAGAATGGATGTGACCTCGTCAAAGCACTGAAACCACTTGGCTCTTTGTGATCTCTGGCCACCAACATCAACCATTTTGAATGGGATTCCCTTGATGATGAACTCGTGTTCAACAATACCCTTTGTTGCTTTTCTTGCATGAAGAACATCCTGCTTTGTAGGCAAGTAATCCTTTAAATACAAGAACAAGAAACAAAGTTATGAAAAATTAACAAACCTTCCTTTAATCAATGATGTAAGTGGTGGCTTCTTCATCAATTGTCAATTTTTCAACAAAAACCATTGCTTTTAAATCAAAAACTGTTTTGCCTCATAGCAGTATCGGTATTGGAAAAACATTTTCGCTTTAGAATTGATCCAAGATTTTATCATGGTGCTGTATTAAACTAATCATTGCTGAAAAGGTATACAAAAAAACTCTTATCGCAGTCCGCAATTTTCAATCGATATGGCAATCAAATCTTCTAAGTCTGATACATTTAATACTGATAATATTGGTAGTACATGTATGTTTTTCTGTTTGATAATTTTGTAAATTGCCACTTTCAAGACTAAGATCTCGAGTGATTTATCAATAGAGGTTACTGGACGACTATTTTGTTGAAAATACCCATATAGATCAAGTTACCCTAAACTGAAATGGACTAACATCCAATTCAGAAGGAGTAGCAATAACCCCTAGTCATTTCATGCTACAGAAACTGGCTTAGGCTTTCACAGCATAAGCCCATCTGGTCTACATGTAAGTGCAGGCATTAGTCAAAGGTAAAAATATTAGAGTAAAAGCATGAGTTTTCTACAAGATGCAGCCAAGTTGACTATCACCACAACATGAACTTAATAATTAAAATAACTTCAGAGCCTGGTGGCCAGCTGGGCCAGCATCCTTGATTTCTTAGTAGCCCAGGACCAAATAAAGTGGTCCTGTATGTTCAGTAGTACACCAGTGTAACACTATATTATCATGACAGTCAAAGAATTCAGAAAGTTGAAATATTGTGCCCAGCTCCCATAATCACAGCGGAATTCCAATTTTTCGAAGCTCCGAAAGTAAGAATTGGTTTGAAAAGTTGGGGGTAAACTTAGTGTCAGACTGAATAGAGGGACACAACTTTTGCTTCAAAGAATCTAAATGTAGAGTCTCGAAAAATCCAGTGTGTTTGAAAATCAGGATTCCACTTATCTGAATTTTTTTCAAAGCCTTGTGTGTCCTATCACATGGACAGGTATAGGTAGCGATGAGTATATATCTGAATTTTCAACATATGGAGCAAAACATGGCATCTTCTTGGATATCCCTTTTGTCCAACTGGTTTGAAATGTTTGTGATCTTTAGTTATTATCGTATTATTTCTTTGGCTTTCTGAACACTTTCGTTGTTCCTTGTTTTTTGGTTGGTAACAGCCCCAAACCAGAAAGAAATCTCAAGAATTTGCTGTTAATGTTAATTTTCCAAAACCATTGTAGAGGCAATAACATGTGCAATGAAAACAGTCTGCAAAGTTCTTTGGGTGAAGCAGGAGTCAAATGGCAACAACAGAGAAATCACAATGGCATCTAAACATGGATCAACTTGGAATTGTTTATGGCTTAAATCCCCTTGAAATTTTCTGCCTTCCAACTAAACATTCACTGAAGTTAGTGATATTAGAGTTGGGGAAAAGAAAATAAAGTTAATCCAATTAAACCAGTGGTTATTTATTGTTACTCTAACTTCATACTTCACAATACATCACACCCTAAGTATTTTGTACCGTAGTGGCGTATCAAGCAATATTTACACCTCAATTTTTAATCGCCCTGTCACCACTGGCAACCAGGCAACTGCCAAGTTTTAGCCCCGCTATTGCTCACAGGAAACAAGGTTATGTATTCAGTGGCAGATCCAGACCTTGAGCTTAGGGGGGTGGGGGGGTTTGCTTGCCCTGCGGGCTTTTTCTTCCTGCTGCGATTTTTTTTTTCTAACCAAAATAGAAGGAGCCTGGGGCCCCCGGGCCCTTCCCCTAGATCAGCCACTGGTATTCCTGTTGTTTTATTTAACAAATAGATTCAATAGATGTTGATCTAGGCCTTCATAGAAATCAAGAATGTATAATCTACTAGTTTTGCTAAAATTCCAAGTAAATTTTCCCCTAATGGAGATTTCTGATTATTTCTATACATACAATGTATTTAGTGGTACTAAACTTGATATGCTAGTATACTTCATGCAAACCGAACTGTCACTCAAAACTTCCTGCTATATATACAAGTGNTTATTATACAGACAAAACCCAAAGCTTTTGAGCCCGTACAGGTCCGGACAAAATGAAATCGAAAATAAATCTAAAACGAATGAACCACAAAACTTCGCAGATCTTTTCTGAAAAGTATATTTATTAACTTTTGCGCGTACGAAGTTTTAAGAGTCTGTATATATAATAAGTTTGTATAGCCACTTCTGACACTCGACATAAATCACTTAACATTGGGTTGATGCATAAAACTCCCTGAAACACAGCCAACCGAGCTCTTTAGTTAATTTCACAACGGGGAAACGGAAATCCAAGTTCAGGAGTGCGCATTTTATACATGAGGAAATTTTGGATTCTGTTTACTTGTATTTGCTGAAAGCACGGACAGATTACTTCATCGAAGTCTCGAATTATTAAACGTGTCTAAACATGAAAATAAAAACAACCTTTAAAACTAAATAATTTCAATCCTGTGGTTCTTATTGTATAAACATCAGATAATAACAGACATGTAAAAAGAGCAATCGATTGAAAACCAATAAAAACTCAGTGGTTTTCTCTCCTCAGGACTATAGACAGAGCTTCGAAATTTACTGGGATGGTTTTATGCCATTAAATTTACAATGTTCCCCGGGAACTGGACACGGGTAAAATTGAACTGCATTTAGGAAGGATTGTTTGCTCTTGCGAATAATACGAGGAGAAAGAATATGAAAGAGATATTTGCCCTAAATGAGTCCCAAGTTCGTCGGTATGTTTACATCTCCATCTAAAACTTAACGTCCATTGAACGTTCTAAAGTGCAATACACATGTGAGGGGAAGAAATTTTAAGGTTAAAACAACTCACCGGCCGACCAACCCGTTCCAAATGGTCGAGGAAATATTTAGATGAATCGCCCTGTAAAAAAGGAATGATTACAATTGAGTCAAAGTACGCCTGAAAGAATGTCAATTTCAACCCTCCCAAACGGTCGCCAATTCTGTAAACCAAAACTGCAAACGACGTATTCGAATGCCTGTCCACAGTATAACACAAATTAAAACTTCTTTTGCAAGTTACTTTGATGGAAGTACACAAAAGTCTCCTATTCCGACTTTCCTTCCAAAATAATTGGGCTTATGAAACAAAGAACAAAGATAGCCAGATCAGATGCGATAGTTATGTCGCTCTGATATCATTATGAGTCGGTAAACCAACTTTATTTTTTATCCCCACGAAAACGCCTTCAGGCCTCGCTTTTACTTCAGGTATACTGTAAAATCTAAAACAAAACAACGACGTAGAAAATAGAAAGAGTGTGTGTGCAACCGAAGAAACATAATAAATACAGTTTTAATTCCCTTCATGGGCTAGCATTGTTGAAATCTGCGAGAGTTGTGTTATGCATAATACATTGTTTGTGGTGGCTCGCAGAAGCCGCTTTTTAGCAAACGTAACATTTAGTTCACGATCACTAATTCAATCTCCTACAGATCAGATCAATAAAAATTAAATGCCTATTCTCACCAGCTGAAATTCTCTTCTTCTGTCGTACGCATCTTGAATGCCTTTATCCCGCCAAAGCCTCTTCACACAATCGAAGTAACTCATGAACATATCCGTGTCGATGTGTTGCGTCGCTTGGAAATTCAAGATCTTTTCTGCGTACATTTGGTTCGAGGGATCTTGCCATTCTAGTCTCAACTTCCTTCGAGCATCAGCCAGGACCTTCATCCCCTTGAGGATGTTACCATAAATGATGGGGCGAAATTCATTCAATGCATCGCTGTCGAAATCCTGGCCATGAATGATGCGCATTTGCTTAAGGAAAGTGCTCTTCCCGCTCTCTCCGGCACCTAAAAGCAAGACTTTAACTTGACGACGATATTGAACTTTCTCTTGAGCGATTTGCCTATCTATTTTTCTTGATCTGGCTTTCTGTTCAGCCTCCTCTTGGCTGAGGCAGCACGCATCGAACACCATTATGGCCGACACTGAGGCTGCAACTGACTGCAAAATCCACACCCACTGAGGGTTGCGAGCTATGGAGAACATGGCCTTTGATCAGACCGACCAATAAAAGAGCTTACCGGAAGGAACACGTATTTTAACACGTTTCGAGACCTGATTTTCGTCGCTAATTATATCTAACACATTTTTGTTGCTCCGGGTAAGCTCCAGGAAAGCTAATTACTGGTTTTAAGGATATTTTCGAAAATGAGGCAAGGGAAAACAATTAAACTGTTAACAATAGCAACTAAGACAAGCAAAGCATGACAACATAGTTCTCAACATTTTCGAGTTATTGCTCAACGATTTGCCCTTTTCTTTTCAAGTCCAGTTTAAAGCCAATAATTTTAAATCAATGTCAGTAAGAGAACATTGAATATTAAACACATCTACCGCTTGAAAGCTTAAAACAGATACGATGTACACTTGCTGTCAAGATAGGAACATGTTAAAATGGAGGATAAACTAGAACTTGAGGTCGCTTGGTCTGATTATTTCCATCCATGCCAGCTTTCCACGAAAATTAACTTTAAATTTTCCCTTCAATAGTTAGTCATAACTATGACATTGCCTTAAAGTATATAGATGAGTGTTTGTTTTCATCGGAATTGTGCATGCATTTCTGTTTCTGTTGTTGTTCTTGTTGTTTTTTCTGACATTTGGAATATATTATTTTTCAATTAGCAAAGATTTGGCTTTCACCATATATTCATTATTTTTTCACTGGAATTTACAATAACTGTGGACGCAAATGCTGACACCTTACAAATGATCTAATCAATGTTAATTCACGTCACAGGTCGAGAAATTAGCAAATGTAACGTTTTGAAATATTGCCATTGCACCTCTTTGTCGAGAAATTGACGAGTAGAAAAAAACAGCTTAAGTCCACTGAGTAGGGAAATAATGTACTTAACAGACCTGCGAAATGGACACTAAGATTGATATATATTGCCTAGTATATGTTTTTCTGGTATCTTTTTTCGCTGAAAACACCAATAAGTGGAATTAAAGGATCTCTTCCAATCCGTTTGACGTAACTAAAAGCCCTCTCCCATACGAGTTTAGTTTTACAATTTTAGAGTAAACGAACCCCATAAAGTTGCCTTTACTGCTACCAAATCATGGCTAACATATAGACGTTCACTTGAAACCTGCTCAGTGTTTACCCCGGGAGTATTTCATAGCGTGAATTTTTTTCAGAGCAAGCTATGCTATGAACAGAAATGACGGAAGGGTTACTTTGGCAGAGTGCCGGATTTGGGAAGGACTGGGAATTAGCCTTTCTCAATTAAATTTATTTTGACATACATTACAATAATTAATTCCAATAAATCTGGTGCGTTTACAACGTCAGCATGGGCTCCTAATGTCAGCTAAGTTTAGCTAGACATAAAGGAGAATAAAAGTATTTTCTGCCAAACCCTTTGACAAACCATGTTTTAGCAACAAACTTCCTTCATGGAAAGCGTCAGCCCTTGAAAAACTTTCATTCACAAACCTGTTTATAAAGGGAATTTTATCTATGCACGTTTTAACATTCCGGATCAATAAATCTCGTCGTTCATTACAGGGGCACACTTATGTTTCCTTGTTTGCTGATAAATGACATCCGTGTTGATAAACAGATATATAAATGAGCAAACAATCTTGTAATAATATTATTATTAAAGTCCTCGACAGAATAAAAATAGCCTTGCTATCTCACAATAGGCTGAAAACAGAATCTATTTGGGTTGGTGATGATTGATTGTTCGCGTTACCAGTACGATTTGGAAAGCCGTCTTTGTTTTGTTATGTAAACTTTTCAAGTTTGTTTGAAATAATGTTTAACAGTTCCGCTTTCGCGGGAGCAGAAGGCGGTAATTGTACAACGTCAAACTAGTATATCATATCCGCTATTCGTAAGGGCTGCTTCCGATTTCTTCCACTTCCGCTTTCAAAAATACACCCACTTTTATTCTTCTAAATACACCTACTTTCCTGTTTCGTGCTTACCAACGTAAGTCATTATGCAATACATTAGTCGTCAATGGGTCTCAATATTGTGTATCTCAAGTCACAACAAAGACAGCCTTGTCACAACTCATTCCGAGCATTCGAATGACGCGTGAGACCGAATAGCAGTCTGGGTATTCATCCCGGTAAAGATCGCAACCAAACAATGTTACAATGTAAAAGCTTCTTTCGTACTTGCAAAGCAGTTAAAACTTTTCCTTCCTATGGATCATCGCGCACTCCTTCCAAAAGACCGTCTGCCTAGGAAGCTATTTACACTTCGATTCGGAAAAAGAGTCGACTAAGAAACGAGCATGAAGTAGATTGTTTTGGATGAGAGCTCCACCTTCTTCCGATTCCTGTTACCTGTTGTTTGCTGTGGCCAAAATCTTTGAAAAAATTATCTATGACCAACTATACAATTATCTAAATGCAAATGATTTATTAACCAATTGCCAGTCTGGCTTTCGATCTCAACACAGTACTCTTACTGTCTTGTTGGAGACTAGCAATAACTGGTGTGTCAATGTTGACAACGGTCTTCTCAATGGTGTAATTTTCATTGATTCAAAGAAGGCTTTGACACTATAGATCATAAAATCATCTTGTAAAAACTTGCTAAATATGGGGTCCTAAAAAGGTTCAAGTCTTACCTGACGAATCGTATGCAACGAGGCAACGTAAACATTGAATCACCTTTCCAGCGCAAGCCCGAAGTTCTCCAAGGATCAATAATTGGTCGTCTATTTTTTTTATCTATATTAGAGACTTAAGCGCTCGAACCTATAGGCTCCCCTACAATGTATGCTGATGACACTAATGTTACTTTTGCTGCATCTAACATGACTGATCTTGAGACCCAAATCAATAGTGAACTTAAAAGCATTAATCTCTGGCTCAGAGCCAACAAGTTAAGCCTCAATGTTGCTAAAACTAAGTGCGTTTATGCGCATTAGCTCGCGTCAAAAACTGGAGTCTTTAAATGACGAGACAATAAATATTACTGCAGACGACGTCAAAATGAACCAAACAGATCATAGCAAAGCTCTCGGACTGAACATAGATGAAAACCTATCCTGGAAGGAGCACATAAATGCAATTTCGAAAAAAGTCGCTTCCAGTATCGGTGCACATAAGCAAGTCAGCGTTTTGCAGTGTTCAGTTGGGATGCTTGTCTCAGCTGCTAAGTGAGAAACTTCAAAAACTACAAAATCGTGCTGCCAGAGTAATTAATAAATCAAGTTATGATACGAACTCTAGCTATCTTCTTATCTCGCTTAGCTGGGATAACTTATCAGTTAGAAGGGCGAAGCAAAAGGCAAATTTAATGTACAAATGCGTTAATAAGCTCGCCCCAGTTTATCTTTGTAACAAGTTTACTCCGAAATTCGTCCTTTGATCTTCGATTCGCGACGCTACTCAAAAATTGTATCTACCTCCTGACCGAAACCAAGAACCGACTACCTAAAGCGAAGCGTCAGTTACAGCGGAGCTTCTCTATGAAACGATCCTCCCGAGAAACTTTGTACTACAAAATCCTTAGACCTCTTCAAAAGAAGTATTAATATATGGTTCTCTGCATCGGGACTCCCACACTGCAGATATGTGACACACGGCAGATATGTAAACTAGTAGATAGAAAATGTTTCTGTTTTTTTCTATTATTATGTACTGGTATTTTTACCGTGGTATAAACAAAGTTTTCATTCATTCGTTCGTTCGTTCGTTCGTTCATTCAAGTTAAAAAAAACACTATTTTCTTGTATTTTACACAGGGTTTACAGCGATTTAAGAAAAACTGGGCTCACTTAGTCAAAACTACAACAATGCAAATCTATAAAGGCAACCCTTACACGGATAAGTATCCCTAATTATGTGAAAAAGCAATGTGATATTGTTTGGGTCACTGGTTGTCATGAAGTGATGGCCGCGGAAGAGAGCGCGAGAATTCTCTTGTCGCCTGTCATCAAACATCTGAAAAAGAAAGCCTTGCACATCTTCTAGTTTTCGTGGATCTCCCTGAAACTCTGGGAAGTATTCCTTTATGTTCGAGTGTTTGATCTTTTCCTCTAAAAGGTCTGCCTTGGTGAAGAAAAGGATGACTGACTTATGGGCAAAGAAAAAGCTGTTGATTATTGTATCAAAGAGGTCACATGAGTCCACAAGACAATTCGTTGTTCCGTCCATGAGGAATTGGTCGTAAGCAATACACGACACGAGGAACAGAATGGACTCCGCATTTTCAAAACAAGGAAATCTCTGCCACTTAGTGTTAGGGCTGGAATACTTCTGGTCACCAATATGGATCATGTTCAACGTAGTATCGTAAAAGTTAACCTCATGCCTTGTTATGCCGCCAAGGCCTTCTGCTGCTTTCGCATAGTGAGCATCCACCTTTGTGGGCAAGTATTCCTTCAGCAAAGAAGAAAAGTGCAAGTAAGTATAATATTTTAAGTCTAAAATGATATATACAATTCAGCCAAAGAATAACATTTGCTTGTTTGAAGGCACACCCCTGTCGACACTAACGCACTGCCTTCCACGCGTTAAAGTCTAGTCAATTTATCCCGCTCCACGTTTAAGGACGGTGCCTACTAATTGCAAAAGTTTTTGCGCCAGGTTAGGACCACGCGGAAAAAATAGATCTTTGCAAGGGCTGTTGGAATCTACAAAGAAAAATGGGTATAGCCACGCATTTTTTCGAGATAATTAGCCCTGAATCTCAACAAAAATGCTGACATCAGCATTTTCCTGAAAAAAGAAGGAAAGGATATTTCTTCACAGATTTCGATTGAATTCGCCTTTACATACAGAAAAGCAAACACATTTAAAAAGATCTTTAAACTATATAGCAAATGATAATAAAAAAAAACCATTTTTGATATGTTTTTAATGACAAACTCGTTGCAAAAGCGCTTTTAGCGTATCTGACAGCCTTCCTCTGGTTCAGCTAAAATACAGTCTAAATACCTTTTGCTCACAACCAGAAACTAATCACGT